TGGAGATCGCCTGTTTACTGATTCTTCCAATCACTATCACTTTCGGCAAAAATATCGTCACCAATATCTTCACCCAATAATGCGAATCTTAATAAGGTAACAGCTACTAAAGCATCACGCTTGTCAATTGTTTTAGATAATCTAACTTTCGCATGGGCTGTTGACAATCTAATTAATGTTTCTAGAGTTCTTGCAGTAATTGGTGACTTTTTGGAGTTTTCGTCATTTCTCAATTCAGTGTAGTTCTTAACAATAACAGAAGTAGCTTCATCAGTTAGTGTTGGTTCAATTCTTTCTTTAGCATACTGGACATACTTTCTTAAGAAAGGAATTGTAACGATATTTGGAATCTCCGTACCATTATGATCACCTCTATTCTTGGCCAATTTGGCACCAGCTTGTAATAATGGGTTATATTTCTCAAAAATGTTATCCTCATCGTCGTTTGAAGATGAGTGAAGCTCGTCAGTCTGTTCAGCTTCTTCATCAACACCAACTGCCAAAGTCAAATTTAGTCTTTCTCTCATGGGTTCACCTTCCAAATAACCTGGTGGTAAAAATCTGTGAGTCCTCAAAACATGCTCACTAATTGCTCTATCTCTGATTTCATTAATGTCGTCAGTAACAACAAATAATAAATCAAAACGAGACAACAAAGAATCCGGTAATGCAATATTTTGATGTGGATCTCTATTTATATCATATTGACCAAAAACAGGATTTGCTGCTGCTAGAACACTACAACGAGCATTCAAAGTGGTATGAATACCAGCTTTCGCAATAGTAACCGTTTGCTGTTCCATTACTTCATGAATTGCCACTCTATCAACATCTGTCATTTTATCAAATTCATCGATACATACAATACCTCTGTCTGCTAAAACCATAGCACCTGCCTCTAATCTTCTTTCACCTGTTTCTCTATCTGTTGTAACAGCAGCTGTCAAACCAACACCAGAAGAACCTCTACCTGTTGTCGCAATAGCTAAAGATGCAGTATTTAAAACGAATCTTAACATTTGTGATTTAGCAGTAGAAGGGTCACCGACCATTAATATATTAATATCACCTCTTAAATGGGAACCATTTTCTAGGTTTTTTTCTACACCACCTAATAACATTAACAGAACAGCCCTTTTTATATGATCATGTCCATAAATAGATGGAGCCAGTGATTGAGACAAAATATCGAATATATCTTTTCTTTTAGATAATTTATTAATATTTCTAATGTCGAAGTCTGATAAGATTTGTTTAGCAGAGACACCTGTTGATCTTGCATGTAAAGGATAAACTGTGTTACCAATAATCAAAGTTCTGAAACCATTTAAAGTACCAGAATCATTTTGATTTAAACCACCGGCACCTAAAGATTTGAAGACACCAATAATATTTATTCTATCACCTGGCTTCGTTTTATCAACTAGATCATCATCTAGAATAACATCGATTGACCTTGGTAATTGACCAGCAGGTGCCATTTCTGGCATTTCTTGCACTGTCACTCTTTGATGGTCCAAATATGTAGAATAACCGTATTCAGTAGTTAGTTTGTTACCATCTGTATCTTCAGTTGGATAAATAGCAGGCGTAGGAATTCTTGTTGTTAATGTTGTAGTAGCATCTGTGTAGTCTCTGTAATGGAATCTGCCTGTTTTATCTGCATAGTGGACAGATCTGATCAATTTTGGTCTCACCAGGGAAGTCTTTGTTACGATACCTTCAATAGAAACCAACTTATTTAGGAAATGAGAATCTAATGTACGTGGGGTAAGAGAGTGCGCACCGAAAGAACCTTTGAAGGACAAATGCCAAGGGTTCACATGAAATGCAGGATCGACACCAGGTGTATAACTTTCTGGCATATCGTCAATAGAATGTGCTACATCTGTTAATGCTTTTTCTGCTGGGGGGATGAAATAAGCAGGAGAAGTTAAGATACCAGACCAGTAAGATCTATCAAATTCTCTCAAATCATCTAATGAGATACCAATTCTAAGCGGCATGTAATCCACAGCCTGTATTCCTTTTTTATCAGATTCGAAGTCTGTATCTAAATCTTCATCAAAGTTATCTTGTTTTGATTGAGAAAACAGTTCTGAATTATGTCTTTGTACAGAACGAATAGCATCTCTGTAAGAACTAAAAGTATCTAAAAATTCTTGAAATCTTCTCACTCTATCTGTGAAAACAGCATCTGGAGCAAAGGTGTTTATTGGATTGTTTTCAAATTCTAAATCCATCTTTAAAATAATTAGGTCAAAAGAAGAGATAGGGAGCACTAGAATAGAATATAGATCAGTTCCTTTTTTTTTTTTTTTAATTTATTAAATCTTCTTTATATATATATATTAGCAATAAACCAAAGTAAGAAAACACTCGTCTAATCGAGGAACTATACTTGATTAGAATAAAAGTAACCTAGCCTTGTTTATCTTTCTCTATTTCTTAAAGTTGCTTAATGTCGATATCTATCATTAAGTTTATTTTTAAGATATAATAATTATTCAATCGACCGATATGTAAATTATTATTATTATACCTAATTTTGAAAAATTTTGCAATTTGTTTACCTAATCGGGTAATACAATCTGGGATCTAATTACCTAAACGGGAAAGAATATTAAACAGGCAAGTAGTCCTATAATAACAGAAAGAGATGATCATTAATGAGTTTGGATATATAGAAGGTGGCCCAAAGTTCTAATACTTATGAAACAAAAAATACCGATATGCTGTATTTATTTGGTATGAATATTAAAAATCTTACAAATCTATGTCAATTAATTGAATTGAATAAAAAAAAATTCGACAACTGCAGGACTCGAACCTGCGCGGGCAGAGCCCAAAAGATTTCTAATCTTTCGCCTTAACCACTCGGCCAAGTTGCCAATATTACTGAAGAATTTTGGAAAAAGGTGACAATTATGAGAATAAATATATAAAAATTTTGTATGTCAGTACAAAGTGACAGAAGTTTCTTTATATTGTATTATTTGGCCTTTAATTATTATTTAATTGTATATTGAATTTGGTATACGTTAGAATGAAGGCTGGTAAGCGTTTATTCTATAGGATCTTAAGGGTGGAGATCTGTAGGTTAAAGTAAATATACTTGTTAATAATAATAAATTTCTATATATCTTTTATGTACAAAGTAAGATACTAAATAATATACAATAATATACAATAATATACAATAATATACAATGATCTCTTTAAATATCAATGTTAATAGCATGTAACAACATTCTTGTAGTGACACATATTTCTTCACCTTCAAGGTTCGTATGAAGTAACCTCGAAATAGTCTCGAAATAATACAATATGTGACCATTACTATGCACGTAAATGTGGCAATGACGGCAATAAATAGGTAACGCGACGTTTATAAAGGATGGAGTTCCTGAAGTATAAGGTACCTATTTCTTATTATTATTAAATAGTGAATAAGTATTTGTTCAGATGTAAAAGTAATATCTGTTGTGACTTTAACCTGGATACTCGAGGATAAAGTTTATGTCACTATTGCTGTTTTTCGTACAAGGTGAATGTATCGATTTCTCTAATATATAAAAGGAACAAATTTTCAGTTCCGATATATAAAACTATTTATGTTATATAGACTACTCTGTTACAGGAGGATGAGCGAGTTACCACTCACTGAGCTCAGTAATAGATAGACATGCCTGTTTAACGTATACTTACTTTCATTAAAGCTTAAAGCTTATACCATTCTGATAATATCTGAGTTATTCATTTTGGTGATTTAATTTAAGATGATTTTGAAGTAATATTTATATGTATTTCTCCGTAATGTCTTATGAATGAACTAAATAAATATATAATATTAATAATCTATTTGATTATACTTTGTCATTTCAATAAATGGCAATTATTGCGTCATAACAATATATGTACTATATTCTAATATATTAATATAATCCAAAGGTAGATATACTGGCTAATATACTAAGGTATTTATTATAATAACTCTGTCTGTCCCTCTCAATTTGGGAACTTATTTATGTCGCTATGAAATTTATTTATTTCTTTATATATGTTCTTGTCTGCGCTAGTGTCGTAAATTCTTTGTCTATTGAATACTCCACTTCTTCGTATTATTTTATAATCATTAAAGCAAGAATAAAATTATTAGGTCTGTGATCACAGCTTGATCTACTATTTCAACACAATCTCTCTTACTTGCATTCCTTTGATCCTAGTTTAAGGTTTTCGCAAGATCAGATCTTAAAGATAGAAAATCATAAGGTTAAATTTTTATGGCATCAAAATAAACATACCTATTCTCATTTAATGTAAATTAGAAAGGGACATTTGCACTGAAAACATATTAGAACAACTAGAGATATTATTACATGAGCCTGGGAATTAAATATATCATCACCTGAGTTTAAAGTCATAGACAGAATTGACGTAATTATTGACATTGAAATAAAATAACCAAAAAACAATAGTATACCATTAAATAATCATAATATATTTTAATGTTTTTCTATAGAATATTG